TTTTTTTTTTTTTTTTATGCTATTAGCCGTTATTTTTTTTTTACGCAATCTAGAAATAATACATTTGACTTTGCAGTTGACGCAGCCAAAACGTGAAAAAAATCTTCGTAGTTGTCGTGTCATATCCAAACGCGCATATGAGTAGTTCTAAAATACATAGTGATGCAAAGGTGATCTTTTAACACTTATTGCGCTGCTCGACGCAATGTATTTTAAATCGCCTAAAACAACAATAATGATATTTAAAAGTGTTTTTTTTTTTAATAGCCAGTGTAAAAACATTTAAGTTTGATCGCCTGTAGATGGTTGCTAGTGATAATACTTAACGTCGACCGCGGCCAGTGCCGTGGGGTAGTATTGATTTTTCTACGGGTTACAAATTAAAAAAGTAAGACCGAGACGAGCATTATAGTAGGGGCAGTGCTCAAATGGTCTCGTGCCGCACAGAAAACATCCACGAAGCTCATTACTTTTTGTGGAGTGGCCGGCCAACTTCAACACGGGTGTCTATTATTTTGCTGTACAGCGACATGACCAGGCTCAATACTTCATTCCAAATCCATTCAACACCACTACGTGAACGGCTATAAAAACTCAACCTTATTGAAACACGCACACAATAACGCTCATTAAACGTTATTGCGCCGGTGACGGACACGCCGTCAACCCAAATAAAAACTGATGACTCCTTGATTAACGCTGTACAAGTGAAGTGTTCACCGGGAGAGTAGTTTAAACGCAGTCGAGAGGGCTTTTCGACTGCGATATTTCCTCGGACACTTGCCACGAAAACGCGTAGGCAGAACAATAAAAGTCCGTTGATTATCGCTGAGCACTTGTATTGGTCCCGAGTAATTTCACGTGAAAATTAAACCGGAGGAAAACAAAAACATGGCCGCTCTATCGGTTTAACATTTCATTTCTTCGGGGACGATTCTACCGGAAAACTCGCGAATAAAACAAATAAATATTAAAAACCAATTTCAGGGCACGCCGACAGTTTGCTGCCGAGGTATTTCATTTAGACGTCACCGCCGCCTCGGTGGTATGCGCACCCGGACAGCACACGCCGGTTGCCGACGAAGACATGTGGTGCACCGGTGTCGGCTGGCAGAATTCGTCGGGACAGTGACATACCAAAGCGAACACACAGGTGAACACCGTGACGAACCGATAAATCATAACCCGAAAGTACCGCTCGCACACATGCACGCGCCGGGTAATGATCAACATCTCAGTCCCGTTGAATCTTTTTATTGTTTTTTCGCAGTACAATAAAAACAATGCGCCTCTCATTACAACAATTCAATGCTAGTAGTGTACAACTAATGTATAGAAATGCACCGGGGAGATTTTTAGCATTACAAAAAAAAAAAAAAAAAAACTTTTAACAGCGAATGATTAAAGACTAAGGAGTTTTTTTTTAAGCCATTTTTTATCCTTCTTAAATCAAGTCAACATAAATGGCGAACGTGTTTGACTGTACAATAATAATAATTTGATGACTTGTTGGAGTATCATTATTCAAACCGTTGCGAGCGCATTTCATTTTCGAGACGCCGAGCATGACCTTAGGAATTTCAAACCGAATAAAAGAACCATTACTCTGTTGCCCTTCGCTCTCATAGCTTCACTTGTCTCGATAGTCGACGGCGGAGCTCGGCGAATTTTTTATACATAATAATTATTATTAAAAAAAAATGCCGAAATGTTTGAAATCCATCAATTTTAACCGCTGTCACGAGGGGAATTAGTTTTAAATAAAGTGTTGTTTGAGAAAACGTCTGTACTCTGCGCGCGTAGAGAAGGCACACCGTAACTGCCCATTTTTTTAAGCCCGCAGTGTATTTCCCCTTTGCACCGACGTTACCCTTGACACAGGTCGATTGTATTATACATCATTTTGTAATCGTGAACAAAATGTCAAGTGGTTAATACGGAGAATCAAACGGCGCGTTTGTGTGTTTCCGCCCGCTCGATACGAGCTCGTGATCTTTTACTCACTTCCTTGTTTTCATAACCACTTCTTATGGCCAATAAAACACCGTGTATTATGCACGTGCACTAATACTGGTAACTGATTTACACCGCACATGCATATAAATCAATGTCGGAGGACAGATAATCGGCACCCGGTAAATCCAATGTACTGCGCGTGTCATCGAAAAACAATTGTCTATTTTGTTTAATGAAGAAAATATATCATACGTGTCTGCGACACGGGAGACGGGCGGCAGCAGTAAAAAAACTGTACGCACTACAAGTGAATTATCCAAGCGGCTTGTGGTGGAAGAAGAAAAAAAAATGCATATTTCCGACGCCGATTTAAAAATAAGGTTATCATTCTCTACCCCACTTGCACGATCGCTTGTTGTGCAAATAAAAAAATCAGTTGAACAAATTTCATAATACCGCTCCGTTGGCATACAAAGTGATGGAATTGAATTTTTTTTTCTTTTTATTAATTTAATGTCCATGTACGGATTTTTAGAACCGTTTCACTCTATACACACCATTTGTGACCCAATTAATATTTAAAATCAATATAACCGACGGCGTGCAAGTTGAAAAACTTGTGTCAAACCGACTAGGATGAAGTGCTAAACAACAGTGTTAGAAAATGATAGAAAAACTGACACAGCCATCTATCAAAATATTATTTTTTATTATTTAGTTCAAAATTATCTTTGGAGAGGTTTTTTGTAGTTGTTTTTAAAAGTTTAATAAAAACAAAATGCTCTAATAAATAACTAGAAGTAATAGTTATCGTCATCAACAGATTAATAGAACGTGGAATGAATAGTCAACAATGTTTTATGGTACTGACAAAGATAACCACAAATTCGATTTACTACCGTTTTTTCGACAAAGTCATTTATAATTTTACTAATTTTTGTTGAATTAAAATTAAATTAAAAATACCCTGTTCTGTACTTAAAAATATTTGAATTTTACCCAGTAGTTTACTCGTCCAATTATTTAATAATAATGTTGTGTCGCTATCAATTATGTCAAATTATCGTTTACATAAACAGTTGACATACAAAATAAAATTATAAGTTTTCACCGTGAGGATGAAATATCTTAAAATGGATCATAATTCAGCCCGTTTAAGTGGAAAGTTTGTACAGACGATAGATATACTTTTGTAAACGTATCAGTTTCAATTACTATGATTTTGTGCGACAGCTGTTTCTAAAATGACGTTGTCTGCTTTTGTGTAACCTAATAAGATAAATGCCTAAAAGCAGTCAAAAGATGAACAACTTTAAGGGCAACCTAACTAATAATCACTTACCTACAGAGTACAATTTTTAGTCGCTCAAAAACAGCATAAATGGGTTTCAATGACAATAACATTAAAAAAGCAAAATATATTTGGTATTTAGTATTTACGAGTCACATAAGAAATCTAATGTTTTCTCAAATAGGTCAAACTACCAGCCACCTATCTGCCCCGACCAACTCGAGTCCACACTCATTCTATCCGCGAGTCCGTATACGGCATGGCTTCTTTGTAGTATTCTTTGCATTATGGTGGTTAACAGAAATCTTACAAACACGTAACATAAATTGTGTTGTACACACTTTCCAATGGTGTATATATTATCATATCGTTATGGCGTTTACAAATAGCGACATTCATAGGACTAAGAACGTCAAATACCTCCATGTATGGAGGAATCCTAGAATATTGGAATAATTTACCGCGAACCTCAAAAATGAATGTTCACTTGATTAGTTAAAAGCTATAAAACTCCAGTAGAAATGTTTCCGCATCTATACTTCAAAAATAAAATAGAACTAACTAGACAAATTAAAGTTAACATTGTAACATAGTAACACATTTGGAGGAGCGCATGTTTAAATCAAACTATAGATAAGTCGTGATAGCCCTTTGGCTACAGAAGACCACCGAAATATTAAAAAGCGAAATTTGAATCGTTGCAGAAATATCAAAACAGATGGCAGGTCGCAAATGTTCGGGAAAAAATAAAACATTGTCAAAGCTAAGAGGAAGTCGAGTTTAGCTGACATTTCGATATTTTTCGGATAGAAGTAAAAAAAATTGTTTACATTCACAAAGACTTGAACAGACAGTTCGGTTCATCGCTTTTCTAAATTTAAAATAAACACTCAAGCGAACATCAAACGATTATTATTTTTTATAAAAACAATATTATTGTGCACGATATTAATACAATTATCGATATTAATATTAGTTTAATGGCACACTAAGCATGACGCAAATACTATTTTTTCGACGATGATGTAAATTAGAGACATTATTGTTTGTTTGCAACATTAATGATGAGCTGAAACGGAACACTCGTAGCAAACGCTCAATCAATTCAAGCGAAAACAACCTGATGTATCTTCGTTCGTATGGCGTATGGCGGAAGGGGGCGACCAGGAAAAGGGCAATGGCGTAACTTGTTATCAGTATGATGTTCAATGTTCGTATGAGAAGGTATGATAAGAATGATCGAATGATTAGATCGTACAACGCAATGCAATAGATGTACTACTGAATCGAACGTTACGAGTGTGTATATCTATGATAACGTGGACACTTGATTATGTAGAATTATTGTGCGTAGTGTGTGTGTGTGTGTGTGTGTGCGCGCGTAGAATAACGTGTTGGCCGCTAAGCCTGTGGCGGTATTTTTAGACATCCGGCTACGGTGGTCGCCTAAAAAGCGCCAGAAACGGACATTAAGGGATGTGAAAAATCAACCTAGGGGCGTACGCTCACTTGCATGTCAGAAAAGAACAATCGACTGGCGTAGCAGTAGCAGTAACGACTATGTGTATTTGTGTATGAAAAAAGCACAGTGAAAAGTATATCAGTGTATTTCACTCACTTTTTATCACTCTCTCGGTGGTCGGCAGCTTTTGGCTGTTGTTCGACATAGTAGCGGTTACGGCAGCGGGACTAGTGGCTGTTGTCCCTTTGTCCGGCGTCGGCGACGGCGACGGCACGTTCTTATTAACCTCGGACGACGTGTTGGCGGCGGTGACGACGATATCGAAACCCGTGCTCGTGCGTATTCACTGTGGCGGCGACGTCCACGGGTCACACCGTCACGCCGCGTGCGACATTAACGGCGAACTAAAAAATATTTTTCTGATAACGTCGAACGCTGATAATGGTAATTAAAATATTATACCAGCAGCAGCAGCAGTGCGATGAATGCGGACAATCGTCGGTGTGAACATGAAACGACGAGAACCACCGAAATATTTTGTGTTTTCACTGAACTAAAAGCAATTATACTACTTCGATTGAGAAACCGTAAAATCGATAGCAACGATGGATGCGTGTATGCGAACAATTGTTAAAAAAATATAATATCTAATACTAGAAATCTACTCGTGCAATAATATTTATAGCAATAAATTTAAAATAAAATAAAAAAACAACAACATCTACGTCGGTTTACTCGCATGTATCGTCAGCCGCGGCGTTACTACTAGCTGCTGCTGATGGTGGCGGCGGCGGTGGTGCTGCTGCTGTTGGTCTTATAATCGCGCGCTCCGCAGTACACCGTATGAGAGCGTGTGCGTATGCCTTGGCGTGTGTGTTAGTACGGGAGAGTGTCAGAGTTGGTCGATCGACTACTACGACGATCGATGTAAACGACCATACCGTTTCTATCGTCTCACACACTTAATGTTCGAGCGCACGCCGACACCAAACGACAGTACAACTACTACGGCGGTTAGCGGCGACCACAACTACTTCAGTTGCCTACTGCTACCGAAAACCCTGAACGAAGAATTTAAAGTTTTGGATTTAGGCTTTTGATGTATCTTGAATTTCGATATAAAACAATGTAGTAGGTGATAGTAAATACTTTATGCTTCGTTCGGTGATTTTAGATTGATATTACGAGCTGCTGTCAATATTGAAACATTATCAATGTTGTTAGGAAATTCGATTCCGTCACCTAAAATTGTTTAATCGAGCATGTTTTGTACTGTTATTTGTCAAGTAAATTCATTTTCATTGTCTTGAAAATATTTTCTTTTATATTACCCGTTTAAGAAAAAAATTGAATTAAAAACCAATATAATCTATGGACAAGAAATCGTACAACAAGTAATGTCGTTTTGTGAAACACACACGCGCACCATACTGTAATTGCGCGGGCGCGAACGTGTGTATGTATGTGTGAAGTTAGTAGCAGCGCTGTCTTGAGCGCAAATGAGAGAGAGATAGATGAAGTGAAGGCCGGTAGAAGAAAAATGGGAATGGATAATGATAAAAACACAGCTACCCTCCCCTCAGCATGACCGAGTTCCCTCTCCTAATAGAGCTTGTCGTAACCCGGTAGTCGCGGGCCGCTCGGCTTGTAAAATCGTTATGGTCACAATGTGCGCATGCGCATCGCCAATAATTCGATTGTAACGCGCTCTGGTCTAAGTACTAGGCTCGCGCCTGTCCGCTCGACGGGTCGGTGGTACACTCCATTCCTGTACCGGCACCAGCTGTTTCAACTCTCAGTCTCCGAACTTTGCTTGGGGCTATTCCTATTCAAAATTTTAATCGAAATTCTTTATAATATAAACACAACGCACGTGTGCCAGTGCCGAGGTTCATCATTCAAAAACGAAAATAAATATTATTTGCACAAATTCAGAGAATAAAAAAACTAATGTTTATGAAATTCAAGCTTTTGATTAATACCATAAAGTTTATTTATTATTCAGTAGGGCTTTAAAATGTTTTGTTTTATAAACCAGAAGCGCACATAGTTTTTAAAAGTTATTAATAAATATGACTTAAATTAAGCGACATGTATATTAATTTTATTTAATTAGTTTCTTTAGATAAGATTTTCTAAGTACAACGTTTGTTTAAAATATTGGGATCTCGGGCCACCATAAAATTCATTATTCTTCTTGTGTAAACTGGCCAAATGTGACAATCGATTTGGTGATAACATTACTTAGAAATAACATCATTAGGGGTATAAGGTTTTTTTTTTTGGCCGAGGTGTTAGTATGTGTTTAGGCTTCATAATGGTAATATTGTTTCCGAAATACATATCCGCGAATTTTTGTAATACATTTTAAAATATATTTAACTTTTAATCAATAGCCTGTAGGATAATATTTTTAAAGCATTAATTTCTCTCGATAATTTATTATTTATTTAAAACAAAGTGCAAAGTTTTAAAAGAATTTTTAATTTCTTTTAAATTACAAAACGGATGCACAGTGTGGACGTGGCATATTTGGACAATTATAGATGATATCTTAAAGTGATTAAAATCGTTATCATAAGAAACGCTACGATGTAAATCTATAGTGTTTAATTTGAAAATTGGTGGATTAATCGAAAAGCAACACCAGCCTTAAATATATCTTAATTAGTAGTTCTTTTCATCAGACTCCAAAAAATATACATCTTAAGAAAATATTTTCGCACTGATTTCAAATCTGCAATTGCATTTTTTGCATCACCTTTAATCTATGAAATTAATACTAATTAGCAAAAAACCAATAAAAAAAAAAAAAAAAATTGGTTAAAATGATATTTCTAAACACATTAACATATGAAATCATAGGTAAAACTAGACACGGAATATAATTCTAAATATTTAAATTGTAGCATCTATTTAAACACCGAAAGTTACTTAAAAATGATAAGTATTTCTATATAAGTAATTTTAACGATATTTTGTACTTTTCTCGTAAATTTATTGTTAATAGTAATTATACAATTTTGGGGCCACATATCAATCTAAACAATAGGATTTTTTAAATCTCATATAATTTTCTATTTGATGATATCAATCTCAAACTTGCAAGTTGTACTAAAAAATATTTATAAGTTCAACATTTTCAAATTATAATCTTGCATAAAAATCAACTTTCAAGGACCGAAAAAATAGGTTAAACATGACATTTTGAATCGAAATTTTAATTGAATTATTTTTAAAATATTAAAAATCGAAATAAATGATTATACGTAAATACTCGTTTTTACGAATTAGTAATAGTCTCAAAAAAAGAGATGATAGAAAAAATCTAATTACAGATTTAAAGTAAGTGCAAAACTTTAGTTTAGTTTAGCCAAGTACATATTGGTTTATGATGATTAAAGAATGTTTCATTTTAGTGATATAATTGTTCTGCATTATTTAGTATAAAAACATTAAAATCTATATTTCTATTATTTTTAGGGATATTTAATTTTAAAAACGCATACTTTAAATAAAATATTTTAATTTAAAAAAAATCAATCTAGTGAGAGCTGAAAAAAAGTAGTGACAGACACAAAAAAAAAAAAGTATATTTATTATTTCGAAATGTATGGTCACTCATAATGATTAACTTAGAATTTATTTTTATTTGATATTGATTTTTTTTTTATTATTTCATTAAGCATGTTATAGTTAAAAACGTTACAATAAAGAATCTTAACATACATTCAGTTACTTCAATTTAATTTCTATAAAAATTAAATTAAATATGTAGTTAACAGGCGTTGTCATCTATTAAGTATCACTGTGACTTTCTAATTAATTTTTTTTATTCCATGTTAAATAATACTCAACTATTTAATTTGTGCAAGTTATGATTGTCCATTTTGATAATTCTGGATTAACAATTATTTCTAGAGATTTTAAGACTGAATAAAAGATGTCGGTTGTCCTTTCACCTTATCTTATCATAAAAAGGCTTCATTCTCTGATCCATACCAGCGAATAATAACGTTTTGCTCAGTTGAATTTAACTTGTAATCCGTCCCTTTTGCTACTCAATATCCGGCAATGTATACATAATGAATAATAACGTATTATAATATTCGTATACTGAGTAAGTCCTCCAATCTCTCTCGATTTTTCAATGAGATTTCAATTTGGGATACATTGTTATTATTGACGTGGTATTGACCTCTACATTCATATTTTACAAATGTACTAAATATTTTATAAAGCGTAATTGATCACTAAAAACTATAAACAGTTAACTTTTTATAAAAGTTTTTTTCTTTAAAAAACAGGAGTAATAAAATTATTTTTTTAAAATTTAATCTACAAATTGTAAATTAAATTAAAAACATGCACCTGAGCCAATACACAATATATCGTTCATTTATTGGCAAAAATTAAAAGAGTTCATTTTACAATATTAATTTACTACTGCCGAACGGAAAAAGTTTTTGACAATTATGTACTTAATAAAAAAAAAAAGTTTATCGACTTGTAATATTTTCCATTAATCACTTTGAGTTAAAATTTTTATTCATATTATTTCTTAAAGAATTTAATTGATTTAATTAAATTGATTAGCTTGGATACACGTTTTTATAAATAAAAATACTCTAACTCTTCCTAAACTATTTATAATACTAAACTAATTATAATTAACTCGTTTCTTAAAAACTTTTCAATTGCAGGTATGTTAAAAATATCGAATTAAATGCAACAAATAGTTATTTTCCCGATAAAATTCTCTTAGTTTTGAGAGATACTGTCTTTTGATTGTCAGCAAGCATTAGTTTAATAAGAATGGCAATATTAATCCTAATAAGAGACAAGTTTTAAAGACAAAACGAAACTTTTCTTACGAAAAGTGACACAAGTGATGAAACATTAGACGAAAAACATTTTCTCACTGCAAAGTATATCGAAAACCAAAGTTTGCCATTAATATGACCAATTGCCATTCTTTATTGTAACCGTTAACAAGTCATGACAAAACTACATAAAGAAATGGATATTAAAAGAATTAAATATTTTATATTATTATTATTAAATATGAAACTCATCAACTAAGATACCATTCTTGTTGAAACATATATTTATACATTAATACAAATATTAGCTTCGATGCGAAGCTGAGAAGGTATTGGTTTTACTAAGATGTGTTTTTTTTTTTTTTTT